TAAGGTGGGTAGACTGTGACGCCCCGTTCGTTTATGAATAATTTGGATTATTATTATTATTATTATTATTTTGTCATTATTTGTGGCTAATATTAATATTGGTAATTAATTGTCTAAATGCTTAAATGATTTTAAATGCCTAGTTGTATTTATATTTTATAATTATGGTATTTTATTTTAATTATTAAATACTATTTTAAATATTTTAATTTATATTATGGTAATATAATTTTTCGTCCGAACCGAGCTTGTTCGAACCCGAGACCCCGCGCCGTGAGCCGCGCATCCGCGCCCGTGAGCCGCGCCTAATCCGCCCCTCTCTCCCATTTTCCTTATGTGTGTGATGTTAATTAGGGCAAGTGACTTGTATGGTAAGTCACAAGCCCTAGCCCTATATATGTGAGATGATCCTCTCCCCTCCCCTCTCATTTTTTTCAGCCGCCACCCATCCCTCTCCCTCACTCTCCCCGATCGCTCTCGCCCTCTCCCTCCCTCTCGATATTTTATCGCCGTGCCCGTCGCGTTCGCCCTCCGCCGCGCGTCCATCCCTCAGGCCGAGCCCGATCGCACCCCAGGCTGTTGGAGCACTCCCCAGGCCTCAGTTCGCGCCGTCCTGTCGCCACTCGGTGCCCAGCAGAAGCTCGCGAGCCGCCCGGCAGCCCGCGCAAGCCGCCAGCCCCGCAGGCCCGATACCCCGCGCGTCCGTGTCCTTCCTTCGGCCCTTCAACCTCACTCTCGTGCGATTTATCCCGAGAACGGTACAAGGCTATTATTTCTGATTATTTTAGTATTTATATGCCTTATGATCATGCCTTGTTGAGAGATCTTATGTTATATTTATCATATGATCGATTTTTGCTCGTGCGTTAATTGTTCATGTCATTTGATTGTGATCTGATGTTAAATCATGATAATTGCTGTGGATCTATGGAACACTTTAAGTCTTTGGCCTTATGATGAAGGCCTTAGACGAAATTATTGACTGATTTAATTGTTTTGTATTTTTGAATCGTATAGTATTGTTGGACCTTTGAAAAATCATTTAAAATTTTATAACCGTCCGATTGCTGTGTAATTTGAACTGTACAACCCTTTAAAGATGTTATATGTCATGTAAAAATTTCAAGTTAATCTAAGATCTGTAGCTATGTTAATTGCCAATTTAAAGA